CCGGAAGCGGCCTGGCAGCTGGAGAGCGCAAAAGACCTTTCCGGGCCCCTCGCCTCGAACTTGCCCCCCCGTCCTGTGCTCGCCGAAGCCAGCGTCGGGCCGCGTCGGGCCCCCGTCCGGCTCCGGTGCTTGTGCGCGTGCGCCTCCGCGCGCTTCTGCCTCGCCAGCCGCGGCCGCGAGCTGGGCCTCGAGCTCGCCGCACACCTTAGGCGATGCTAAAAAGAAACTTGAGTTTTCGGCCAGAGTCTCGATTATTCTTAACGTTTCAATGTAACTCCCAAGTTTTTAATAGAAACGTTGGGTTTTTAGTCAAGATCTGAGACTCTGAATATCTTAACCCATGATTTCTTAAGCATTTCGCAGGGTGTAGCTGAGCCCGGCGGGAGCAGCCCGGCGCCGCAGCAGCAGCTTCCCTCCCCAGGTCCGGGGCCGCCCCGCCCCCTCCCCGCCGTGCAGAACATGTCGGCGTTTCCCGTGGAGTCACGGTGCAGGTCCCGGGCCGTGGCGCGCGGGAGCGAGGGCTCCGCGAGCGCGTCGGCCTCTGCGATTTTCACCATCCCGCCCAGGCGTCTGCAGCACGAGGTGGCGCTCCGTGACTTCGGACCTTTCCATAGATGGTGGAACAGAAATCCTGTGGAGGCTTGGCCAAGAATGGTTGTCCGGGGGGTTGTCCAGATCGTTTCCGGGATAGCTCAAGGAGTTGTCCAGGCCGCGTTGTCTTGCCAACGCGTGCGCGTGTCATTAGCACATACGCCATGAAGAGCGTGGCGCAACCAGGGAAGCCACGGTGGAAATGTCGCCTCTCTTTCCCCCTTTTCCTCCCGTCCGCTCCTCGTCTTTCGTGCCCCCCTTCCGCTCCCGTTCGCACGCCTTCCTTTACTGCGCTTCCCCAAAGAGCCATGCTGACCGGGGTCCCGTTGCAGTAGCGTCTTGGGTGCTTCTTGGGCCGTCTTGGGACCACCGTCGGCCATCTTGGAACGCTGTTGGCCTGAGGCCGTGGGGCGTGCCACCCTTTTGGCGCCTCATTGGGGCGCTTGGGGGGCCCCCGAGGCCGCGCCCAGGAGTTCTGGCATCGCTGGCCCGACCTTGCCGGGACCTTGCCGGGACCTTGCTGGGGACCTGCCGGGACCTTGCCGGGAACCTGCCGGGACATTGCCGGGGTATTTTCCGTCCAGGGACCCCCAGGGGCCGCCCCGCGCGCTTAAATTCTTACAGGAGACATTAGCACGCCTCTGGCCCGTTGGGCTGGAGAATTTAGACGTCGCGCCCTCGACGCTCAGGAATCGCGCTTTCGCTGTGTATTTCCTTGCGATTTGTTCGGGGATCGCGCTATCGCTCGAGCATTCCTTCCGATTCATGGAGGACGCACGCTTCTGCAACTCGCCTGCTCAACCTGGCCGCCTCGGCCCGCCTTCCCGACCCGCCCGTTAGGGTCTACCCTCCCGATCTGCCCGTCTGGTGCTGCCGCTTGTTTTCTGCTCCTAGCCCCCCCTCCTGCTATTCTCTCCGTCGTGCTCCATCATCCTCCCTCCCCCTTGTCCCTTCTGCCATCCGCCCTCTCTTTCCCTGCCTTAGGGGATGCGCGAAATGCACGTTGTAGGTCGGAAAGATATGCTCCTAAGGGGGTACGATCGAAGACGAAGAGGGCGGGTATCGAGGGTTTGGACATTCGTGTTAAATGGCACGCGAGCAGGTGAGAGCGAGCAGTCCTAACATGACTAGTGTTGTTGTGGTCGCGGTTGTTGTTGATGTTGTTGTTGCTGCTGCTGTAGTTGTTGTGCTTGTGGTTGTGGTTGTGGTTGTGGTAGTGGTTGTGGTTGTTGTTGTTGTTGTTGCTGCTGTTGCTGTTGCTGTTGCTGTTGTTATTGTTGTTTTTGCGGTTGTTGTTGTTGTTCTTTTTCTTCTGGTTGTTGTTGTCGTTGCTGTTGTTGCTGTTGCTGTTGTTGTCGTTGTTGTTGTCGTCGTCGTCGTTGTTGTTGTTGTTACTGTTGTTGTTGCTGCTGCTGCTGCTGTTGTTGTTGTTGTTGTTGTTGTTGCTGCTGCTGCTGCTGCTGCTGCTGCTGTTGTTGTTGTTGTTGTTGTTGTTGCTGCTGCTGCTGCTGCTGCTGCTGCTGTTGTTGTTGTTGTTGTTGTTGTTGTTGTTGTTGTTGTTGCTGTTGCGGCTGTTGTTGTTGTTGTTGTTGTTGTTGTTGTTGTTGTTGTTGTTGTTGTTATTGTTGTTGTTATTGTTGTCGTCGTTGACGTTTTTGCTGTTGTTGTTGGTGGTGGTGATGTTGTGCTGCTGCTGTTATTGTTGCTGTTGTTGCTGTTGATGTTGTTGTTGTTGCTGTTGTTGCTGTTGTTGTTGTTGCTGTTGTGATTGTTGTTGTTGATGCTGCTGTTGTTGTTGCTGCTGCTGCTGCTGTTGTTGTTGTTGTTGTTGGTGTTGCTGTTGAAGGTTGAGTGCTCAACGTTTCTAATTGTTAGATTCCCTGCAGGCGCTTTGGCGCTCTCGCCTCGGCGCTGGCTGCATTTCCTTTGAAATTGAGGCTCGCGCTCGACCGTTCCAGGGCTGCGCCCAGACCGGCCCCCAAACAATAACCACAAGGCTCCCGTGCGATACTTCCTCATAGTTTACTCCAAGAGATGCCCTGGCCAAAGAGGGCCCGAGCCTCAGGAAGGGCGCTGTTGCCTCCGCAGGCACTGTGGTGGCTCAAGCAGGCAGTGCTCAAGTCTTTCGAAGACTTAAAGTCTGGTCAGCCCGCGTTGCACTGTGACTCTGGCCGTCCTGCAGGCCTTGCGTCATCCCAGGATCGCTGGAAATACGTTGTGGATCGTAGGTCGCCGTCGATGGAGCTTGTCGTTCTGCTTCGGAGTCCCAAGTCTCCGCGAGCGGCGGATGAGGCGGAGGACCAGAACGAGGTGGCAGCGCCGCCAGCAGCGCAAGCGAGGACTGGGCGGAGGGGCGAGAACCAGGGCAAGGACGAGGACAGGGGCCAGAGCAAAAGAAAATAGCTCTGGAGGGTCCCTCAAGATCTGTTTCGCAGCTTGTGGGTGGCTGCGAAAGTAGTCCTCACCAGCCTACGCCCTGCTCCCGGGGTCGCGGTGTCGGGCGTGGCCGCCAACCGCACCGGTGCGTCCATAGACTGCCGAGTCGGACGGGAGCTGACAGCGCTCTCGATGACGGTGTAGATAGTATGATGCTTAAGTAGATTGCGTTCGGGTCGTTGCGTGTGCTATGGCGCCAACGTGCGACTCGGGTTCCGTGACTGGGCGTCATGGCGCCTGACTCGAAGTGCCGGGTGCCTTGTTCGGAACATGCGTCGTGTGCGACCTTTGATTTGCTTCCTCACCGCCGTATGTCGGCTCAAATCTCGAATGGGGCGGGCGGGCGCGGCTCGTTGCCATGTTTGTGCAGGGGCGGTTGGATTCATAGAATCTTCCCCTACACAACTAGCAGCTTGAGGCTGGTTCCCCCCTGATCCGTGGGGATTGGCAAGTGTGGCGTGGCGTTTGGGACTGGGCCTTTTGATCCTCAAGGTGCCTCTCCGGGGCGCTGCGCCGTGAGGCCCCCCGACTTCCGAGGAGAAACGCGCCGCCAGATAAGGAGGTGGATGCAGCGGGTGGGAGAGCGGGGGGGGAGACGCCTATCCAAAGGGCGCAAAGGGCTACGAGGGCCCGAAGTAAACGCAGGAGACAGAATAATAAATCCGTCGACGTAGACAGTTTCAGGCCAGAGTGGCCTCCGAGAGTGTTCGGTCCAGTTGGCCTGCCTGCTGGGACGTTGTCGCCTTTCGGTCGCTCCCATTGCGCCGGGAGGTGGTCTTGAGCCGCCTTCCAGGGAGTGGGGGCGCTGTGCCCTGACGACGTGGAGCTCGCCCCCCCTGCGCCGGGAGGTGGCCCTGAACCATCTCCTATGGGGGCGGGCCCCGCTCCTGGCGGGTTGGGGCGTCAGCGGGGAACAGCGTTGAAAGGGCGACTCTGGCGCGGGGTGTGGAGGAGGGAACGGGGGGGCACATCTGTTTACTCTGCGTCAAGACACATGCCAAGTTGTTGAAATATCGGAATCATTTCTGCGCCTCTCGCCCGATTGTCGTACTTGTGCAGGCAGCTCCTGCATATTTTGTGCAGACGCAGGGGCATCACCTTCTCGCCCCCCCCATCAGGCGACGCGGCCGGCGACCGCGCTAAACTGGGTTACTGCGTTGATTTTGTCTCGCGTCCTCGAGAAATCGGCGTGGCCTTCGCGTTCGTTTTTCGCCGTAACCCATGGATCGACACTTTTCTGTCTCATATCGTTTGGGATTTGGGGCCAGGCCCAAGGAGCGTGAGCGTGTCGCCTTGGAGGGCAGCGCGCGCACCAGGAGCCCTGATCGGTGCACAAACTTATAACTGATCGGGGAGCGTCCACCTTGGAGGGTACACGCCCCGAGCATGGCGGGAAAAAAGGACAGGGCGTGCCATTTTTGGGGGCAGCGCGCGAGCCAGGAGCCCTCGTCGGTGCGCGGACATGTGATAAATGAGTGGGCAGCGTCCGCCTTGTGGGTAGCCGCCCCAGCCAGGGCAAAGGGCGGGAAGGTATACGGAGGGCGTGCCACCTTGGGGGGCACCACAAGGGTGCAAACACATGTAAGCCCAGGAGGGTGCCCACCTTGGATGGCAGGCGCCCCTGGATCGGTTGGATATGGCTTACCAGGTAAACGCAACGGCTTGCCAGGAATAGCCCGTGGCCCCAGACTGAGCGTGCCGGCGCTACCAGGAGAGGAGTGTTTTTCGATGTGGGCCCCCAGTGCGGCGACGAGGAAGGGAGGAGGTTGAGCAACATCACGACCTACGGGCCCAGGAATGCCGCTGGTCACGCCCTCGTTCGGTTGGGTCCGTCCACGGGAGGCCCGCTGGTTTCTGATACCGCAACTTCACCAGTTCGATCTCTCCTCGTTCGCTCCCGTTCCTTCTCGCGGGCTGGCTCCTTCCCTCCCTCCACGCCCCTCGCCTCTTCACGGAGCTGGCCCCTGGCCAAGGACCCGTACGAGGCGTTCCTGGATCACACGGGCGACGTCCCAGAAGGGTATGGCGCCGCCGGCGCCTCAGCAAGCTCGGGCCAGCCGACGGCCATCCCCCCTTCTGCTCCTGATCCTCCTCCTTTCGGGGGTTGCTCGAGGTGCCCCTGGCCCAAGGTGCCCCCAGCCTTTCGCCCCATTCCCTCCGGGCTTCGTGCGGGGTGCTGTGGGGGCCGTGGAGGCACCTTGGGCCAGGGGCGCTTCTAACAACACCCGATCCTTCTCCTCCCTCGTCCTCCTCCCCCCTCGTCTTCTGTCCCTTTCTCTCTCTCTCATTCTCTCGCTCTCTGCCCGTTCACCCGACGCCCCCCTTATCCTTCTCCTCCTCCTCCTGCGTCCTTGCTCCTCCCTGTACCTGCCCTCCTCCCTTATTACCCTTCCCCTCGGCCTCTCTCCCATCTCCTGTGTCCTGTCACTGTTTGTTGAAGTCTCGTTTTTTGTTGTCAATTGAGGCGTCCTTCCTGGGGCTCATCCTTTTTTATCAGGGAAAGTCTTACGCCATAGATTGTGTTGTTTTCCGCAGGTTTGCAACAACGGCTCCAATCTGGTACTTCCTCCCAGTTGGTTCTAAACCGTGCTGTCGCGCGGGACTTCCTTACAGGTTTTGCAGGAATCCTGCTCTCACATGGTACGTCTCTGCAATTTGTTGAGACGTTGCGCCCACGACACTCAGGAATTACTTTCTCGCTTTCGATTTCCTCACCATTTACTTTGGGAATCGCGCTATCGCTAGAGACTTCCTCACGATTCATCTTGGATTGACGCTGAAGCGACCCGCCCGCTCGACCCGACCGTCTGGGCCTGCCCGCCCGACGCCCGTTAGGGTCCGCCCGCCCGACCCGTCCACCTGGTTCTGCCGTTTGCTCTTTTGCTCGTAACACCCCTTCTGCTGATCTCTGTCGTGCTCTACCCTTATCTCTCCCCGTTGTCCCTTCCCTCCTTCCCCTGTTTCAGGGGCTGCGCCAACTGCACGTGGCAGGCGAAGAAGATGTACCCCCGAGTGGATTGTGATCGCAGTGCGAAGGGGTGGGCATCGAGGGTTTAGGATATACATGTTGAATGACACGCGGGCAGAAGAGAATTAGCAATCTTGAAATGATGGTTGTTGTTGATGATGATGTTGTAGAGCACTCATTTCGAAAGATACAGTTATTGTTGATCCCCTTCTGGTGTACTTCATGTTTTTTTCAATTAATGTGTTTCTCCCGGGGTACGCACCCGGTCTTGTAATGGGAAAATATTGAGGCTTAGAATGCGTTGTTGGTCCCCGAGCTACCATAACAATAGCTCCCACTTAATATTTGATTAATTAGAAACCGCGCTCTCGCCATTTTTTGGGACGCCGCGCTTCCAACACTCAGGCATCACATTCTCGCTCTGGACTTCTCCACGATTTACTTGAAAATCTCGCTATCATTAGAGACCTCTTCGCGGCTACTGCAAAACTAACGCTTCAACGACCCGTCCGCTCAACCATGCCGTGAGGGCCCGCCCGCCCGACCGACCCGCCCGTCCTGCTCCTAACCCCATTCCTGCTCCTAACCCCCCTCCTGCTAATCTCTGGCGTGCTTCATCCTTCTCCAGCACCCGTGTCCCTTCCCTCCTCCCCCCTTTGTCCTCTTATGGGGCTGCGCCATCTGCACTTGGCCAGTGAGGGATATATACCCCCAAGGAGATCACGATCGAAGACGAGCAGGGCGGGGATCAAGGGCTTTGGATGTACGTGTTGAATGGCACGCGAGCCGCTAAGAGCGATCCGTCTTGAGATGACTGTTCTTGTTGTTGGTGGTGTTGGTGGTGGTGTTGCTGCTGCTGCTGCTTGTGCTGCTGCTGCTGGTGCTGCTGCTGCTATTGTCGTTGTCGTTGTCGTTGTCGTTGTCGTTGTTGGCGTTGTTGTCGTTGTCGTCGTTGTTGTCGTTGTTGTCGTTGTTGTCGTTGTTGTCGTTGTTGTCGTTGTTGTCGTTGTTGTTGTTGTTGTTGAACATTATTAATTCTAAAGAATAATTATTGTTGGGCCCCCTGGTGCGCGCCCCCCCCGCCGCGCCTAGGCCGCAGCCACGTTTTCATCATTTTCGTGAGGAAGCCTCAGGTAATTCGAGGTGATCAAGATCCGGTTGTTTTGTTGTAATCCGCTTTCCCTTGCAAAAAACACTATAAAATGACATTTCTTGTTCTAATATAATCAAATTTCAAGAATCCCTTGCAAAAAATAAGGTAAAGTGGACATTCGCGCGCGCAAGACGAAATCCTTCCAAAAGCTTAGTGTTCGGAGCGATTTTAACATAAAAACATCAAAAAACCAATGGTTTTTCAACAAAAAAAATGTCAAAATCTCATCCCGCGCGCTCTTGCGGATTCGTAGGAAACCCAACACTTTTTAAACATTTCTGTCAAACGGGCTTTTGCGAGCAACTTTTTCGAACTTCTGCGACAACGGTTGCGCACCTGCCAGGGCCATCATCCCTGTCAAATAATACCATGCGGGACACATTCGTTTTTTCTTCGCGCGCGCACGCCGAAATCTCCAAAAACCATTGGGTTCTGTGGGTGTGTACCCCACGCCAGTGTAGTAGCCACGGTCGTCCGCACGCCACGAAGTGAAGTGTCCCAACGTCATAGGGCGGGAAGCTGGGTTTGGGTGGTCGCGAAGAGTCGTTTGGATATTTGGTAGAGCTTGTAATGCCCCCCCACGAAGTGGGGGTATTGCCTGGTGTCGTATGAAAACCCTGGCACTGGGGAGAACACCACGCGTTCGGGTAAAATGATTGTTGTTGTTGTTGTTGTTGTTGTTGTTGTTGTTGTTGTTGTTGAACATTATTACTTCTAAAGAATAATTATTGTTGGGACCCCTGGTGCACGGCCCCCTCGCCGCGCCTAGGCCGCAGCCATGTTTTCATCATTTTCGTGAGGAAGTCTCCGGCAAAACGGGTTGGTCCGGATCCGGTTGTTTTGTTACGGGCGGTTTTCCCTTGCAACAAATAAGGCAAAGTGAACATTTCTTGTTCTAACATAACCAAACTTCAAAATCCCTTGCAAAAAATAAGGTAAAGTGGACATTCGCGCGCGCAAGACGAAATGCTTCCAAAACCTTAAATGGTTTTTCAAAAAAAAATGTCAAAATTTCATCCCGCGCGCTCTTGCGGATTTGTAGGAAACCCAACACTTTTTAAACATTTCTGTCAAACGGGCTTTTGCGAGCAACTTTTTCACGTGCTTCGAACTTCTCCAACAACGGTTGCGCACCTGCCAGGGCCATCATCCCTGTCAAATAATACCATGCGGGACACATTCGTTTTTTCTTCGCGCGCGCACGCCGAAATCTTCAAAAACCATTGGGTTTCTTAGGAATTTTAGCACCGCGCAACATAAAATCATACGAATCGCACCGTAGGTCCTCGAAAAACATCTGTACGAATTTTCAAAATTTCTACCCGCGCGCGCTGTCCGAATCCTAAAAAACCAATGGTTTTTCAACATTTATGTTACATGAGCTCGCGCGAGCTACTTTCGCAAGCTCTTTCAACGGCGTTCGCGCGCCTGCCAGGGGCCACAATCCCTTGCAAAACATACCATGCGGGACACATGCGCGCGTGTCGCGTCGTCGTCGTCGTCGTCGTCGTCGGCATGTTACCACAACAAGTCCGTGTGTCACCACGTCATCGAACAAAATCACTGGTTTACCGTGGTTTCCTATTCTAGCGTCAGGAACACGTTACCACCAAAAACCAGTACAGGTGTCCAGTGTTGGAACAGGGGGAAAAGTCGTATACTAAGCTAGCGTCCAGAAAATGTTACCACAACAAGTCACTGTACCCATGCGCCAGTGTAGTAGCCACGGTCGTCCGCAGGCCACGAAGTGAAGTGTCCGAACGTCATAGGGCGGGAAGCTGGGTGTGGGTGGTGGCGAAGAGTCGTTTGGAAATGTGGTAGAGCTTGAACCGGCCCCCCCACAAAGTGGGGGTATTGGCGGGCGTCGTATGAAAACCCTGGCACTGGTGAGAACGGAGTGTCCCCACGTGCTAGTAATTGTTGTTGTTGTTGTTGTTGTTGTTGTTGTTGTTGTTGTTGTTGTTGAACTCTCACTTCTGAAGAATAATTATAGTTGATCCCCCCTCGCCTGTGCATACTGTTTTTTCTCAGTCAAAGTGTGCCCCTCGACGCTCGCACCCTGTTTTTTGTCAGGGAAAGTCTTGGTGGTCAAACTGAGCCCCTGGCCCCCCGGACTACAACAACAACGGCTCTCGCCTGAGGCTTCTTCCAAATTTATTCATGACCCTCCCCTCCCGTCTGAGATTTCCTCAATTTACTCAGGAACGGGGCTCCCGCTTGAGACTTCCTCGCAATTTAGTCCGGGTCAAACTGCGTTGTTGCTCCCCCGAACTACATCAACAACGGCTCCCGCCTGAGACTTCCTCTTCTATGTGTGCTGCTGCTACTACTACTACTACTACTACGACTACTACTACTGCTACTACTACTACTACTACTACTACCACCACTTCTACTACTACTACTACTACTACTACTACCACTACTACTTCTATTCTTACTACTACTACCACTGGTACTACTATTTTTACTATCAGTACTACTACTACTACTACTACTACTATTATTTGTACTAGTACCACTACGACTACGACTACGACTACTACTACTACTACTACTACTACTACTACTACTGCTGCTGCTGCTGCTACTACTATCACTACTGCTGCTGCTACTACTACTCACTACTGCTAACTACTACTACTACTACTACTACTACTACTACTACTACTACTACTACTACTACTACTACTACTACTACTACCTACTACTACTACTACTACTACTACTACTACTACTACTACTACTACTACTACTACTACTACTACTACTACTACTACTACTACTACTACTACTACTACTACTACTACTACTACTACTACTACTACTACTACTACTACTACTACTATTATTCTTACCTTTACCACTACCACTAATTTTGGTACTGCTACAACCACTACCACTAATAT